ATAGAACAGCAATTACTATTTTAATTAAAGCGACGTTTCGTTTTTAAGCAAATGATAATGAAAATATGTGTGTGTGAGTTAGTTGTATTTTACGTCCGCTTCCACCGGGGTGATATCGCAGATAATGAAAATATGTCTGAGTTAGTTGTATTTAACGTCCGCTTCCACTGAGGTGATATCGCAGACAATAATGAAAATATGTGTGAAATAGTTTTCTTTAACGTCCGCTTCCACCCAGGTGATATCGCAGACAATTACATGTTATATATACATAGTGAGATATTGACAATGTGATTAGTGGAAAAGGGGTAATTAGAGTTTTTTTTATGTACAGACGACAATAGGTTACAGGGCAAGACATGAGATAACAGGTGCAAAGAATAACGAAGTGCCAGTAGACAATGACAAACAGACGAATTATAATGAAAATAAAATACAGAAGGTTTATATACAAAAACAAGTAACAGCTAATTAACAATTATTCTATAGGGAAACTATTTAATATAATATTAGGTCAAATCACCGATAAAGGAATAAGAGCTTACGAAAACATATACACATAATATGTAACAATTAAAGATACATTATGTAAGATTTAGATAAAGAACTAGCCATTCTTGCTATAATAGTTCGAAAGTAGCTAGATGATGTAAAATGAATAATTTGAAAAATTCATTCAAATTACTCTATTGCAAGCGAAGATATTAGCCTTTGAAGGTTTGACAGACGTGCGCAATAATTTCAACCACCGTACTGGTTGATCGAAGCTAAATCTCGGTCCTCCATATTTGATTAAATCAAAGTATCGCTGAACCATTCTAATCTGTTTAATATCGCAGAAATCTGATGCCATAGAGAGTTCATTAAGGCCTGGATCAGTTAATTAATGTCTAATTAATACTTTAGAAAACATTTCAGGCCTAAAGAAAGACCTGCAAATAGGCAGATTTAGCTCTTGTATAATGCATGTTTACTTATAACCATTAAACTATTTGGGGAAACCACTAATCATAGTAAAGTTACAGCTCAAGGGGAAACTTATAATAACATACAAAATAAATAACATCTAATTTCAATTCATTCAATTTTCTTTCAAAATGTTTATTTCGTCAATTTGGAAACTAAAGTTAGCATAAACAGACGCCGATTATTAATAATTAACAGCATGCTAAAATAAGCAACTATCTAATTGAAAGGTGGCGCCAAGTCAGTAAAATGTTTTGTAGCAACGTGTCTTAGACCTTTCAAATTAACTACACACAGCGAAACATATACACGTAGTTGTTCAAAATGAAATGAAATGATGTTGTTAAAAGAAACCAAACAGGTTGTAAAGCAATCGGAACTTTCGTGTTTTAATGATAAAATCTTCCAGTAAGTAGACAGAAAGACTAGTAAACGCATACAATCTCGGGGATGAAACCTGCTCTCTGACAGATAGAGCTGCCATTTTTGATATATACATTTTGAGATAGATTGAAATGATTCTCTGATAGATTGAACGCACATGTTTGTTGAGTGTTACTACCTCTATAGATAATCATAAATATTCCAGGTGCTAGTTGGGTACTGCCAACTTAATATGCCATGTTCAGACAGCACCAAACGGTTAATATTAGACCAGACGTGTTATGGCAGATATATAGCGCGATCTTCTTCAAAATACTGATGAAATTGTTAAAAAAATAAATAAATAAATAATCTTAAAGATACATTCCCGGGTACAAACTGGATGATTTGATGATATATTTGGAATAAAAACATATTCAAACTAATTAATTTATTATAATTTTGCTTCAAATCCTTCTCAAAACATTGAAATTGTCAGGGAATAGCGGCTATAAAAAATAGATCAAAAGAGGTCATGTTTTCGTCACGTGACACAACGGGTGCGAGGTCGGAGGAGAATTCATTGCATATACACAACGATGTTGCCTTTATCGCTGACTATTTATTACAAATATCGAATCATAATTAAATTATCGGATTATCTACTGCCCGCGTCTTTTTCCGTCATTTTTATCTCAGAAAGTATTGTACGTCTATCTCTTCATAAAGGTTATCAAAATTGTACATCAAGCGCTCAATCTCCGCGTGCAACCTTCGACGTCACTCCTAATCGTCGGGCTGTCGATTAGGGAAACCCGTACATTTTTGTCCTGTATGTGCTCCATTAGTGTTTTTCAGGGAATCCATTATTTTTCTAGTAAGGTTAGATATTTCTTCTTTCCATATATACCAAAATTGCCATACTTTTATTGAAAATAAACACCCGATAAATACTTTTCTTGGAACGTAGTTTTAAAGAGAGAGAGAGAGAGAGAGAGAGTTGCTCTAACAAAAATATGCATGCGTCATGTAATGTGTTATTAGTGACATTTTGTCCAGACCGCGGCGTTCCCGATGGTTCAGGATCCCGATTGCTAGGTATCGTATTCTAAACAAGCGACAAACGCGACAGATTCGTAACATCCGAGGGGGACGGGGGGGTGGGATGGCTGAATGGTTAGCACGTGCGCGCTGTATTGAGTCAACTGTCATTGAGTCAACTGGCGTGGTTTCGATTCCCCGGTTGTACGTGACAAGGAGTAGGGTAGCCTGTACAACCTCGTGGGTTTTCTCCGGGTCCTCCGGTTTACTCCCACTGCTAAAGATTTCTATGAAAATAAAATTGAACCATATGTTAGTCCCGAAATGACCTAGTTTGCGTTGAGTGGACGTTAAACCCCATTTTTCTCTCTCTAGACGCTAGAGAGGAAATGTAATGAAATGGGGTTTTACTGTTCTGTACCGACTTGCCTAATTTAGACGGACACCACAGAGTAGAATATATTCTTATTCTTAAAGGCCCAATACCACTCTTGTTGTAACCGAATAATATGTCCCAATCTTTATTCTGGTCAATAAATTATATTATTTTACAATATTCCGATTAATTGATGATACAAATTTCATCTTAACACACCTAATTTAAAAAATTGGAAAAATTCAACTAACTGATTTGAAAACCCTACCGTAAACCATTCCAAATGTGACTTGGATTTAAAAATAAGATTTAATGGATAATTTACACAACAGGTAAGACACTAAGAACATCAAATTTAGAATAAGGCTATTTTTTATTTTCTGGAGCTGTCGAGTCAGCAAGAGTGTTATTGTCCCTATAAAGATGTTCAACTTCTCTTAGGAACGAAAAGGTGTTAGACACGTAGCGGAATAATAAGGCACCATGGTTAATGCCTGACCGACGTTAATAACGACTATTTCAGTCTTCAGAGACAATTAAACATTTCATAACTGAATAATTTAAAAATAGATCGTCTCACATGGGGGTTAATTTGAATTTTTAATCCAATAATCGTATATATCGTGTGACTTTCACTTAGAACTAACAGGAACCATTTCATTAAACAATAAAGCAAAACCAGGGGTCACCAAACTTTTTTCAAAGTGGGCCAGATATTACTGAAAGAATGCCGAGCGCGGGCCGGATAAATATTTTGTTCCATACAATACACTGGATACTGAATACAGTGAATATACACAAAAAACATAAAGATAGTCATTCTATTTATTTATCAATACATGAAATATACAAAATAATAAAAATAATGAAATATTTTAAACTTACCAAGTTTTTTTTTCGAGCATGCATAGGAAATGAAATGAAATAGGGTTTAACGTCCTACTGTTCTGCTCCTAAACTGGGCTAATGAAGACGGGTATACACCATACAGTGTGCTATGAGGGAAATTTTTCCCGGGCAGCGGCGCTACGGCCTACTCTTATATCGAATTCCAACTGCCAAGGGATCTTTTACGTGCACGCCAATGTGTACACGGGACCTCGGTTTTTCGTCCCATCCGAACGACAAGACAGCTGTCCTTGTCAGGCCTTCCGAGCATGCAAAGGTGGGCCGAACAAAATGACGTCGCGCGGGCCGTAGTTTGGTGACGCCCGAATTAGACCAAATGCAATACCACAATCGTAAAGAGACGTTGTCATACTCACAAAAATATAAACGTCACACGAAGACTCCAGTTATCAAAATCTCACGCCCTTGTACTCTAAACTCCAAGGCAAAAATGGAAACATAAAAACAATTTCTAATTAGCACACGTATAATGGTTAACGTGTGTACAAATTTTAATATGAAATGAAATGAAATGGGGTTTAACGTCCTACTGTTCTGCTCCTATACTGGGCTAATGAAGACGGGCATACGCCATACAGTGTGTTTTGAGGGAATTTATTTCCCGGGCAGCGGTACTATCGCCTACTCTTATATCGAATTCCAACTGCCCGGGGATCTTTTACGTGCATTCCAATGTGTACACGGGACCTCGATTTTTCGTCTCATCCGAAGGACTAGACAGCTGTCCTTGTCAGGCCCTCCGTTCTGCACCACTTGATCGGTTTATCAGATGTCGTCTGGAAGGACAGACGGACAGTCGAAGCTCATTTCATTATCCCTCAGTATAATTAATTTTGAATAACGTCTGAATCGTACAATTATCGATAATACTAGTTAGTACTGATCTAATTACAGAGTAAATCATTTTTCACGGAGTCTAGTCGTTCGGATGGGACCAGAAATTGAGGTCCAGTGTACACATTGGCGTGTACGTAAAATTAACAGTTAAACCCCAGTTCATCTCATTTCGTTTCGTTAAGTTTCCTTGAAGTCTCTGACAAATATGTACGATTAATGCGTCTATTACGTAAGTGACTGGATGTCAGAATTTCTCAAATATTTTGTACAATTCAATTTGCACTTCTAGGATGTAACTATTCAAATCCCGTAAACTCGAAAATTGTTTTTTTTACGAACCGATGAAGATCCGTTAAAGCGATAATGCCTATTTATGATTAAAATCAAGTGTCATCTTATAAATCACGCCATTGCATTTGACTGGAGTTAAATATAACGTCAAAGCATAAAGACTACACCGTCTGTAAGAGCCAGGACATGCGCAATTTGCATTAGATAAAATCGTCACCCAAGAGTTATATTGTTCTATGTCCATTTTTTCAAGTTTTGAGAAAAATGCCATTGAAAATGTGGTGTTTCAATGCCGAGAATTTTACATGCGTATTTATGTCAAATTTTGCTTAATGACAGGCAATACTAACATAACGATTGTTTATGGTGTGATTTGAATCTATCATCTTTTTTTGAAAAAGGGGGCCACATTCCATTTTTGGTAAAGTGGAGATAGAACAAAAAAATTTTGAAATTTTAACAAAGAGTAAGTTCAGATGAGAAAAATTGTTCTATGTCCAAGGGAAATTTTACATTTAACACTGGAATAGAATCGTATGTGCTTTTATAACGCATACCCGTATAAATAAACTACTTTCACGAATCTGACACCTTGACACAAATATTATCCTATAAAATAGTCTTTCTGAGCATGGTAACATGCCCATATTGGTCGATTTGGTCTAATTAACAAAGCGAAACAATATGGAAATAAGCACAGCTTATGGTTCTAACCTTTTCAAGTTATAGAGAGAGAACTTAACGTCCACACAAAACAAACTATGCCATTTCGAGACTAACATATGATAGACTTTTATTCTAATAATTCACTTGCACGTAGGGGTCTTTATCAGTGTGACGGAACCGGAAGACCCGGATAAAACCCAAGAGGTTGGGCAGGTTATTCTACTCCTTGTCTCATAAAAGCTTGAGTCACTTGACTCAATAATGCCAGGCCTTATGATGTAAAGCACATGTGTTAGACCAAGTTTGAAAGGGAATTTGTCAAAACCCTGATGTCAATGACTTTCTGTGTCATATAAATACAAGCACTTACCCTTTATTACTAAAGTTGTCAAAACAACTCGCTCCTGTCTTTTTGTTTCCAAGGTAATAAAGTTAATTTGTGATAATAATGTTGAAATACCATGAAAAAGTTATACAAGATGAAGTAACACCAACAACAAAGTCTTTATTATTGATAACATATTTTCATCTCGAAATATTCATAATCTAGAGAGAGAGAAATGGATTTAACGTCCACTCGACACAAACTAGGTCATTTCGGGACTAAGACCTGGTTCAATTTTATTTCAATAATTAGCTTGCGCTTAGGAGTCTTTAGCAGTGGGAGGAAACCGGAGGACCCGGAGAAAATCCATGAGGTTGCACAGGCGAGCCTACTTATTCATAATCTACAAATAGCCTTAACATACTGTCGATCTACAGCAGGCATAAATTTTAACATTGCAGTAAGGTCTTTAATTTTATCTTGACTAAGTAAAGATCCACTTGATATCGGAATACTTTTGATTTTTGGCAAAGGGCTCAATAGATTTGGATTAATATTTCTCTCAGGTCTACGATCAACTATTCTTACTTCAAGAAAGTTTTCCGTGTGACTTGTTTTATATAAAACATGGTAAGGATGGGTTGAAAGGTACATAATTTGTTTAGTTTTTGTAAATGGTATATCACTATATTTATACAATTTGCTAACTGATTGATAATCAAAAAAGTGCTCATGTCTCATCTGCAGAACAATGAGTGGGTGCTTGCGATTTACAGATGGTAATATCCTCATTAGGCTAACTGGACTGAAAACTTCACATTTTTTAAGGGTGCGTTCAATAAGACTATGTACTGCATCTACCTCTTGTATAGAGCTATGACCTGGCTGACAGAACTTTTGGGTTATTGAATTAACAAAGGGATACCTCTTTAAAAAATCCTTCAGTGCCACGCACATTATTGAGTTTCGATTCTGAGCTACACATGAGTCAGACCACAATACGATATCTTTAACATCAGGATGTCGTCCCATTACTTTCTCAAGAATGCGAATTAGAGAGGACGCAATATCATTGCCTGTACGACCTGATAAACCTTCACTCCAAATGGCACAATAACCATTTTTGTCAAGAGAACAATGAGCAGTGAGGTTGTATACTGAGAGTTTTCTTCTGTAAAAGAAACTGGATATATTAGCTCGTGGAAGGGATAATACATTTTCTAAATCAAAACAAATTATAGCCCTTTCTTTATTCACCCTATCATTATCTCTTTCTACTTTTGTTTCAGTTTTCATCCGTAGGTGCTCTTCAAACTTTTCTTTTTCTTCATCACTAGCATCAGCATTATTTCGAAATTCTTCACACTTGTCACATCGATCCTTCTTTGGTTTTAAGAATTCAATATTATATTCATAGTTGTAAATGTGTCTATACATATGCTCCTGTACAGGTACAATGGTTCTATCGTTACAGTACTCCTTATACATTTCATACAGTATTTTCAGGTTAATTGTGGTTTCAAAGTATTCTTTTCTTGTAGTAGAACGGCAGTAATGGGACTCTACTCTTGGTATTGACATTATATGATCATGCACACTCTGTTTTCTATCTTCAGGTATTACACGTTTTGGGTGCTTACCTTTCATTGGTGAACGGGGAATCAGTGTTTGATCTTGTCGTACATGGTCATAGAAATAGGACACTCGTCTTTGACTAATATCCAAGGATGTCAAAAAATACTCCTTGCATACTCTGTGTCGAACACCACCTACTTCAAAAAAATAGAGGAAGGAATATTTTCTACGTGACTGCTCAGAAAGGGTTCTAGTTCTTGCTTTTACTCGCCTTTCTGTAAACTGTGCATAAAAATGAGACTTTCTATCATCTGGCAGTTTCCAAAAATGATTGTGGATAAAATCTCGTTCGGCATCACTGATAACCTTGGCACACTGAAATTTGCAGTTACCCTTACAGTCCTTCTTAGTTTTAACTTGTCTAGCTCGTTTAATATTTCCCTTAACGTCTTCATATTCTTTTCCAGACTGACAGGCTCGTCTACTTATATTAGCCTTCCATGCTGCTGGGTCACGTTTTCGTTTCCTACTGAGTCTCTTTGATCTGGAAAAATAATTAGAAATGTAAAAGTAACATTAAACTAACACTATACATAAGGCCATTAAATCTTAATCCTTCAGTGTACACAAATTTAATATTGTTCCATTTTTTCAATTCAGTCAATACACAAAATCTTTCACCACCTTGAAATAAGATATTATACTGACTAGTTGTTCGGATGGGGGGAAAACGAGATCCTTTGCACACAATGGCGTGCACGTTTAAGAACCCTTAACAGTTGGTATTCGATATACGAGTAGGTCGTAGCGCCGCTGTCTGAGAAAAATCATCCTCATAACACACTAGATGGCTTATGCCTATCTTCATTAACCCAATCAGTGCAGAAACGTAGGACTTTAAACCCCCATTTCATTTCATTTCGTTTACATTGATTTTAGTTTCGGAACTAAATATTCTCGTGCCTATATGAACTTAGATAACAAAATGAAGGAAACGCACATTTTGTCTTCATTTACAGAAGTTTCCGGGTCTGTTTCTGCAACATCATTAACTTCAAAGGTTGGGTCAGCTACCTCATCATCAATGTCCGAATTTGTATCTGATGAACTATCGGACAATACCCTTAATTGGGGTGTAAGCTGAATTCCAATAGGAATAAATTTAACAGTATCAGACCTAAAATGAAACAAAGTATAAAATTTGACATACAACAATGAATGACAGATGAGAGAAGAATTAAAAACCTATGTCTACGCGCCAAATGGAAAATAAGATGAAATTAGATTTAGATTGTTCTATCTCCAAGGCCACACTAATCAGGGTGTTTTGGGTATATTTTAATGTTTTAATTGTTTCTAACTTTACAATTTTAGTGACATAGGTTGTAGTTTTCAAATGTACTCACTCTTTCTTGTTTATAACATCATCTTCTTCATCGTCCTTCAAAACTTCATCAATGACCTTAGACAAGTTAAGCCTAGCAGGCGCCATTTTGGAAAATGATCACGTCACTGTTTTGGGGCAGTGTCATTGGATATCGGACATAGAACATTATAACTCTAAATTTTGCTTTCATTAATGAGATAGGACAATAAAATTTTGTGATTTACTCCTATAATTCTTTAAAATCTGACCTTGTAATTTGTTTTCTGTAAAATATTGAAGTTACTTTAATTACTGGTTATAATAACTCCATTTCTTCTAAAAGTGGAGATAGAACACTTTAATTCTGAGGTGACGAAATGTTAAGTTGCCCACGGCTTAATTCACGCTAAACTGTATTCAGGTTGATTATTTAACATTTAATTAAGAAAACAAAATCAAAATACCTACGCTGGATAATCTCTCCCGTTTGGATTCAATCGCATTAAAGATAGGCCCATCTCCGCAACCGATAAAAGATGGCGGGGTCTTGCTAGTGATTCCTATTGCTTAAGTGGGGGTGGATGGCCGAATGGTTAGCACGTGCGTGCTGTATCATAAGGCCTGTCATTGAGTCAACTGGTGTGGTTTCGAATCCCCGGTTGTACGTGACAAGGAGTGGGGTCGCCTGTCCAACCTCGTGGGTTTTCTCCGGGTCCTCCGGTTTCCTCCCACTGCTAAAGACCCCTACGCGCAAGCGAATTATTGAAATAAAATTGGATCATATGTTAGTCCCGAAATGACATAGTTTGTGTCGAGTGGACGTTAAACCCCATTTCTCTCTCTCTCTCTCTCCTATTGCTTAAAATGGCGGATCGAGACTTCAATAAAAAGTAGGATTAGTTTGTTTGAATCTCTAAAGATCGATTATCGATCCGTTATTTTGTTTTAATCTATTCATCATCAATACACAGCCTAATCTTCCTAGTCTTGTCCACACGTTAACCCTCTTTGTGTCACTTGTTGAAATAGTGGTAGGAAAATTATGTCCTTTGTATAGAGTAACGTTTGGGGTAATACATTACATGTGTGGTTGAACATTTCAAAAATTTGCATTTTTGACTAAATTTGGGCATGTAACCATATGGCAACAATGTGTATTTCACGTAATATGTGTTTGTGCCAAATGGCCACATTGCTTAATTTGGTACTGAAAAACTTTATTATAAAAAGGCTTTAAATATCAGAGGGAAACTTTATTGATGTCTTTGACACTAACAATATTCATGAAACACATGAGTTGAATACTTTTAACATTCAATTGATTGTATGAAAGTCCACAAAACAGTTTGCGTACATTATTCAAGCAAAGTACAACACCACACTTTGCACACTTTATTTATACGGGACCAACCATGTTTACACTGTTTGCACCTTCCCTTATCACTATGTGATGGCCAATGACCAACTACATCATAACGAACATCATCTACAGGCCGTACCATTATTGGTCGTCGTCATTTATTTTGGGGTTGTTCATCTCCTTCAAAAGATGGCCGACCCCGTTTTGTTACCTCCTTTTCTACCAGAATAAGAGCCTTAGCAATATTTAACTCTTTCAAAGATTTGGTGTACCTAACATTTAGCAAACCTGCATTCCTTCTTGCAATAAACCATGAATTACAAATGCACATATCAAGAACATAGGCAAACAACCTCAGATAATTGGTTCTGATGTAGGTCCCATGTTTGCTAGATTGTTTGATATCTGAATGTTGAAACCGGAACTTGCTGGATGCAGGTGATTATCGTTTTGTTTCTTGTGGCTACGCTCGGCGTGCGCGTAAACTGCAGATGGCCATGTGGATCCAGATCACCAATTATTCCTACTTCGTCACAAGGGCCAAAGTGATTTTACTCTCTCTCTCTCTCTCTCTCTCTCTCTTCCCCATTTTTCGCATGACCATCTTTGTCGACTTTTTGGTGAAGAATCGACGAAAAGGGTTTGAATATATATTTTCTGCCAGGTTTTGGTGAATGGTAATGATTTTGAGGCGGAAGGATACGAGAGTTAAGAGGTTGGTTAGGTTGAAATGAAGGGCGGAAAATTGCATGTTCATTGGTCCCTACTTCCAGCTATGTATCTCAAGTTTTTCATGATGAACCTCATACGTGCTTTTGAGCAAGAGGTTACCTCATGTTGCTCCATCTGTTCTAGAAAGCGTTCATTTGAGAAAAAGTTAGAGTCGGTCTAAGAGACGAGAATTAACATTAAAGTCAAAGGGGAAAACATTGGTGATCTGTGGCCATATTGTTAAGATATCAATTCGTTATAAGTTTACACACCATCACTCGGTCGCAGCAATAGCTACTCTTCGGTTAATTCTGATATTTTCAGCGTGTCTGTCCTTAACTTATATTTACCCCTTTAACAGTGTACTATAGTATTCTGATTTATTTGTTCTTAGCTGACACTTTATTAACTCAACCGTAGTAGAGAACATAGGAAATCCTTTCAGAGGATGAAATGGAATCACTGTGTGTTATTGGGTTACCGAGTAAAGTAGCTTCAAGAATCACCATGATCTATCGCCCAATCATCATCACTCTGTCAACAAGCATCAACTCAAAACACTTTATAGCAATTAGTAATCTGGTGGACATTTTATTTTCGTCATAAGGATAAGTCGATATTAGCCGTAATCATGACAGGGGGTGGATTAAGTCCGCTGCTTTTGAAAGACGTGTAATAGTTTATGAACAGGGGAGGTAACGCTATCGATAAAATACTTTTAATAATAAAGTGCACACTTAATTGATATGCAATGAAATGTGGTGGAGTTTAACGTTCTACCGATCGTCTCGACTGGGCTAATGAAGACGGGCATACGCCATACACTGTGCTATGAGGGAACTTTTGCCCGGACAGCATACGCCATACAGTGTGCTATGAGGGCAATTTTGCCCGGGCAGCGACGATATGGCCTACTCTTATATTTAATTCCAAATGCCAAGGGATCGTTTACGTGCACGTCAATGTATACACGTTACTTCGGTTTTTCGTCCCATCCGAATTCGGCGTCACTCGACTGTAATTCTGTCAATTTGGTAAGTTCAGGGACTGACTATTAAGGTGAAGATCGGAGTGGTCTCCTCTTATCAGAGTTCGAGAGGGGAGGGCCTGCCAAGAACAACGTATCGTCGTGCTGATTCGATATAAAACCAAGGTCCCGTGTAGACGTCCATGTACGTTTAAAAGAACCCTTGGCAGTTTCTAAGTGTGAGCTGTATGGGCAGAATTATCCTCCCTAGCAATACGTGTCGTAAGAAAACAATGATTTGGGAGTTGTAACTGTTATAGGGTGTATGCCCATCTTCATCACCCCGGTTGGTGCTAAGTACTGGGGGCTCTTTGAAACTTTACCCCCCCCACCCAATCTACTGCAAATAAATGTCAAGTGGTTTCAAGCGGTGTTTAATAATAATTCTCCAAGGCTTGTCCATGACTGACTACGAATCGACTGTACAGCCCAAAATTTCTGAGCGCAGGGAGAAAATTTGGTATCTGTGCCCCAATGGGATCGTCTTCTCATGCTAAATCAGCGGTCAAAACGACCCTGTTTCATTCATTTTCATGTGTATTTGTATTTGTATGTCATGCCATTTATATATAACTTGCCGTCACATCGATTGCAGAAAACCCCCGACACATGTAAAAATATTTCTTCAATGAAAAATCAAAATAATTCTAATTTACTTTCATGCTTTTATTAATCAACTTTTGTTTAGATAAGATTTATGTTATTTTGTTGGCGCGAATTATCGCGTGCATTCGATTATTATCAGCTCCCGCCATTTCAATGTTGTACCTGATGTATGAATAATAGAAAAGATTTCATGTGGGGTTTTATTTTCGTTGGATTTTATGGTCTGTGTAAATCGAGTAGGGATTGTAACTAGACATGCAAACTGCACATTATTGACACGACTTAAAACACGTTCATCTCATTTCATTTTTTATACCTAGTCATTATGAAATCCGGTTACTGATCACTAAATAGCATCGAATCGTTTATCTTCGATTAGATGCAGTAATTTACGTGGAGATGAAATACAAAGATAGGATTACTACAAATGAATAATGTCATCCGCTATACAAGACCGAATAACCTACTTTTTTATTTCTAAGAATATATCGCATTAAAAAAAATGTTAGTGTTAAAGATGCCCTCCCCTATAGAAAATATCGCATCTTAAAAATGTTAATGTTAAAGATGCCTTCCTCCCAATCTGATTAAAATACAGATCTATATTTCGTTTCGCTTTTGTAGTTGAAGTTCGCGCCAGGGTCATACAAGAGGCTTTTGACCTATGACGTCAGACATTTGATTAACCAATCAGTGTTGATGTTTATAGTGGGTTACCTACAGTTCCGGGACTTGACGATAAATACTCGCCATAACATATCGTTGCATTGGCTAATCCCCCAAAACATCAAGAACGCGGGTTATGTAATAGATCCTAGTGTAGTAAAGACAAGTAAAGTGAAATTTTGAACTATAAAAAATGAAACGAAATAAGATCTGTGTTTTAATCAGATTGTGTTGTTTTCAATCAAGAACTCTGTTGTTTCGGACAGCGCAGGTTTTACGTACTATCTTACCACTTACTAACAGACCGTTTCATTGGCTTATCCCTTGACACCACTCAGAACACGAGTTAAATAACAACTCTTCCAGATCCAAGTGTAGTAAAGACCAGTAAAACGAAATTTTGAACTATAAAAACGAAACGGAATAGGATCTGTGTTTTAATCACATTGCCTTCCTCCAAAACACAATGTGTGTTTTTCAGGGTATCTTGTATTTTTCTAGTGGTTTGACTGTCTCTACTTTCCATGTGTATAAAATATACTTTCGATTGAATGTATCTTTAATGTCTCTGACTCTCCCTGCTTGCCATACTTGTATAATATGCCATACCTTTTTTTTTGGAAGTAATTACCCTATAAATACCTTCGTTTGTAATGGGGGATCACGTGGCTAAGTGGGTAAGACGCTAGCTCGCTAGCCTGGAGGTCGGGTGTTCGATCCCTGCATTGGCCGATTTTCCGGCGTGGTTCTCCCTTGTCAGTGATGCAGGACGGAGGGGCGAAAAACCGAGGCCCCGTGTACACATTGGCGTGCACGTAAAAGATCCCTTGGCAGTTGGAATTCGATATAAGAGTAGGCCGTAGTGCCGCTGTCCGGGCAAAATTTCCCTCATAGCACACTGTATGGCGTATGCCAGTATTCATTAGCCCAGGTTAGGAGCAGAACAGTAGGACGTTAAACCCCATTTCATTTCATTTCGTTTGAAA